CCAGTCCCCCCAGTTTGTTCCCAGTCCCCTCCCAGCCCCCTCACCGGTCCCGCCCGTCCCCGCAGGCGACCCGGAGCACGACGCCGACGGCCGGGTGGTGACGGCCGAGTTCCCGTCGCTCTTCGTGGTGTGCGCCTACGTGCCCAACGCCGGGCGCGGGCTGGTGCGGCTGGAGCCGCGCCTGCGCTTCGACGCCGCCTTCCTGGCCTTCCTGCGCCGCCTGGACGCGCGCAAGCCGGTGCTGCTCTGCGGCGACCTCAACGTGGCGCACGCCGAGATCGACCTGTGCCACCCGCGCGCCAACCGCTCCAGCGCCGGCTTCACGCCGCAGGAGCGCGACGGCTTCTCGCGCCTGCTGGCCGCCGGCTTCGTCGACTCCTTCCGCCACCTCTACCCCGAGGCGCGCGGCGCCTTCACCTTCTGGACCTACCTGGGCGGCGCGCGGGCGCGCAACGTGGGCTGGCGGCTGGACTACGCCGTGCTGTCACGGCGGCTGCTGGGCGCGCTCTGCGACTCCAAGATCCGCAACACCGTGACGGGCAGCGACCACTGCCCCATCACCGCGCTGCTGGCCGTCTAGGGCCGCGACCGGCGCGGGATTCCCACGAGAACCGCCCGAGGCAAGCTTTGGTGGCGCTGTGTGTTCTTGCTAGGAGGTGTCTTGGCTGGATTTGGCCCAAAATCAGATTAAATTGGCTCAAAATTGCTCAAAGTTGGAGCTTGATGGCGTTCTCCACCTTTGGTTTGGTGTGTTTTGGCTCCATTTGGCCCAAAATTGGCTTAAATTCACTCAGAATCACTCAGAATTTGAGATTGATGATGTCTGTTTTTAATTGGATGTGTCTTGACTCAATTTCGCCTAAAATTGGTTTAAATTCACTCAAAATCACTCAAAATTTGAGATTGATGAGGTCTGTTTTTAATTGGATGTGTCTTGGCTCAATTTGGCCAAAATTGGCTCAAAATCGCTCAAAGTTGGAGCTTGATGGCGTTCTCCACCTTTGGTTTGGTGTGTTTTGTCTCCATTTGGCCCAAAATCAGCTCAAATTGACTCAAAATGGCTCAGAATTTGAGATTGATGATGTCTGTTTTTAATTTGATGTGGCTTGGCTTAACTTGGCCCAAAATTGGCTTAAATTCACTCAAAATCATTCAAAATTTGAGATTGATGATGTCTGTTTTTAATTGGATGTGTCTTGGCTCAATTTGGCCAAAATTGGCTCAAAATCGCTCAAAGTTGGAGCTTGATGGAGTTCTCCACCTTTGCTTTGGTGTGTTTTGGCTCAATTTGGCCCAAAATCAGCTTAAATTGGGCCAAAATGCCTTAAAGGTGGCGTTTTAGGCCATTGTCTGTTTTTAATTGGATGTTTTTTGGCCCAATTTGGCCCAAAATTGGCTTAAATTGGCTCAGAATCACTCAGAGTTGGATTTCGATGGTGTTTGCTTTTATCTGGGCGTTTTTTGACCCAATTTGGCCCAAAATTGGCTCGGAATGAGTCAAACTTGAATCGAGTCAGGTTGGGCTGAAATCGGCCCAAAATTGGCTCAAAACCGCCCAAAATTGGGTGCTGATGACGTCATCAAAGCCAAACTGGAATCCCGCGTTTAACCAGGTGAACATCGACCCAAAACCTCCCGAAATTGACCCAAAAGAGTTTTGATGACGTCATCGAGGCCAAGATGGCGCCCCGCCCTCGTTTTCCCCCAAATTCCCCCAAAACGGCCCCAAAGTTGGGGCTCTCAGGTGCTGCCGAACTCGGACCCAAAACCGCCCCAAACGTCCCCAAATTGGCTCCCGCCCCTCCCCCCGCCTAGGCCCCGCCCCCTCCGGCCCCGCCCCTTTTCCCGTGGTGTTCTAATAAAGGTGAATTTTGGGGTGAAACCTGGGATTTTTGGGTTTATTTACACACCGGGCCCGCGCCCCCCAGTGGGCGTGGCCATGAATAAATAATGCTGTACAAGGGGGCGGGGCTTATGTACAAGGGGGCGGGGCCCGAGGCATGCGGGAGGGCGGGGCCATGCGGAAGGGGGCGGGGCCGGGGGTGGGTTAACTGCCCGATAACCAACGGGGCGTGTCCCGCGATGGGTGGGCGTGTCCCGCGATGGGTGGGCGTGTCCCACGATGGGTGGGCGTGGTCAGGCCCGCGGGGGGAGGGGCTGGCTGACGCGCACGCAGCCCCAATAGGCCGCCCGCAGCAGACACGCCCCCGCGCCCGCCCCCAGCACCGCCCACGCCGCCGGCACCCACCGCGCCCGCCGCCACAGCCACCACGTGCCGGCCTGGCCGGGGCGCCGGGGGGCGTGGTCAGCGCCTCTGGCCACGCCCCCGACCTTAATTGAGCCTGTAAGCCCCGCCCACTTGACCCACACCCTCCAGGGCCCTCTGAGCCACGCCCCCTCATATCTTCATGCACACTCCACCCCTTTAGGCCACGCCCCCGTTAAGCCACACCCCTTTCCTGCCTCATCCAATCCCCAGCCACACCCGCTTTAAGCCCCACCCACTGAACCACGCCCCTTTGGCCCCTCCCCTTTAAGCCCCACCCACTGAATCACGCCCCTTTGGCCCCTCCCCTTTAAGCCCCTCCCATTGTCACCGCCCCTTTAAGCCCCTCCCCTTTACGGCCCCGCCCCCTTTTACCCCGCCCTCACCGCCAGCCCTGCGGTGGCCCCACCCCCTTAAGCCCCGCCCCCTTT